CCCTGTCCTTACTGAGTGTGCACACACTGACACAGACTGTGTGCCCTATACTTATTGCGCATGCACAGACTGACACTGAGACGTTACCTCTAGGGAATGGACATCAAACAAGTGGGTGACTCGAGGCTGGCGGTCCCGCTCGTCCTCCAGGGATGAGGTGATGACGTGGAACAGCTCATGAGCATCCTATCAAAGGACAAAGCTCTCTGAAGACAGGTTCACGAGGCAAGGCCAGGGTCAGAACCCAGGCCGTGTGCAGCAGACAGACCCAACTCTTACCGAGGCGGACTGCTTTCTGCTTTCTCTGAGTCCTAATAACTGAAGGAGACTGGCCTCCACCTCCAGCAGGGGCTTGCTTTTAAAACACAGGCAAGATGCATGCAGTACAAAACCAAATGCCTCAACCCTCTCAGGAGTACAACAGCAGCACTGAGAACATTCAGACCCTTGTGTGACCAGCACCACCATCCATCCCTGACTGAGATGCAGACCCGCTAGACAGTAACTGCCCGCCCTCTCCTGAGCCCTCTCTCCTCCCTTCTGCCCTTGGTAGCCTGGCAGCTCACATGAAGGGAGCAGAGTCCCTGCTGGTTTGCTTCTGAGGCACTGCCCAGAGCAAACAAGCATGTCCCTAAGCACACTGTCCTCAAGTTTCATCCACAATGCAGCATGCTGAAGCGCCCCTTCCTTTTAAGGGCTGGCTGGATTGCACTGTCTAAAAATTTTGTTTGTGGGGCTGGAGAGATGGCTCAGTGGGTACGAGCACTGGCTGCTCTTGCAGAGGACCTGGGTTTGGTTCTCAGCACCCACATGGTGGCTCACAACTGCTGTAACCCCAGCTTCTTCGGGTCCAAGGCCCTCTTGTGGTCCCGGTGGACATCAGGCTAAACACCAAACGCATAAAAGAAAAATCTTTTAAAAACTGTTGTTGTTTCGTCTGAAGATGCAGCTTACTGGCTGGGCAGGGGAAGCCTGGGCTCATGGCCACGGGAAGGGTCTGTCCTCATCTCTTCGTCCACTGCTGGGGTTTACAGGGCTCTGCCTATTGGCTCTGTGGTGTTTTGAATATGTGTGACCCATGGGAAGTGAGGAGATGTGGCCCAACTGGAGGAAGTGTGTCACAGTCTCCTGGTGACAGTCATGTGCTGTGAGCATAGTTCTCTCTGACAGGAGTCTCTCAGCAGGATCCCCAAATCCTACCATCAAGAAGGGAATCTTGTGCACAGACTTCAGCCATCTCCCTGGCATCCAGAAGCCTCCACATCTTCCTCACAAGGATCTGGGATTGTGTCAGGTCGCTGGTGCTTAGCAGCTTCCTTTTCAGGATGGCCAGGAGCACCTCTGGGCTGGGGGGTGACTGAGGCCAGGAGCACCCCTGGGCTGGGGGTGACTGAGGCCAGGAGCACCACTGGGCTGGGGGTGACTGAGGCCAGGAGCACCACTGGGCTGGGGTGACTGAGGCCAGGAGCACCACTGGGCTGGGGGTGACTGAGGCCAGGAGCACCCCTGGGCTGGGGGTGACTGAGGCCAGGAGCACCACTGGGCTGGGATGACTGAGGCCAGGGGCACCCCTGGGCTGGGGTGACTGAGGCTAGGAGCACCCCTGGGCTGGGGGTGACTGAGGCCAGGGGCACCCCTGGGCTGGGGGTGACTGCAGGCAGGGCTGGGGAACTGGGTCTAGGCTTCACACCCTAAGACTGCTTCACCTCCACGGCAGAGACAGACTTGTTGCCACAATGCATGACACAGCTGGTGGTGGCATGGACTCAACAGGTGGCACTGCTTATGAAGCGTCTCTTGGGTCAGAACCTCCATGTTGGAATCTTCCATCCAGTTGATGCTGCACCAGTCACCCAGGTCTATGTCCCTGTCCTCGTCACAGTAGCAGGGCTGGCGGCAGCAGTTGTATCAACACTGGCGTCTTCATGGGCCAGACCCATGTGCTTCAATGTAGAAGTCTCGGGACTTTTCCAGACCTTTACCCTTCACAGCTTCTGTGCTGCCTCTCAGCATGGTGAGGAACTTCTCCGAGTCCATCCTCTCCAGTGTAACCCTTCAGGACTCCCTGTCCATATCTGTGCTGTCAGGCTGGCTGGTCACTGCCCCGCAGAGGGATCGTCATCAGAGCTGGTGTGTCATCATCAGCACTGTGATCTGTGTGTCAGGAAGGCTGTCTCGGGGGATGATCTAGCAGTCACGGCACGGCCCTGCCTGTGCTGGGAATTACACACACACTAGAACAGGCTGTAAGCTGAAGTTGCCTTGGATACCCCACTCCGGTACCAATTTCTGACTTCGGGTTTCATTGCTGTGAACTGACACGTTGACCAAGATAACTCATAAAGAAAACATCCCACTGGGGTCGGCTTACAGGTTCAGACGTGCAATCCATTACCATCTCGGCGGGCAGCATGGCAGCGTGCAGGCAGACGTGGTGCTGGAGGAGCTGAGAGCTCCACATCTTGATCCAAAGGCGGCAGCCGACTCTCCCCTCTGCACTGGGTGGAGCTTGAGCATGGGAACCCCACCCCACAGTGACACACTTCCTCTGTCAAGGCCACGCCTCCTCAAATAAGGCCGCGCCTCCTAATAGCACCCCTTCCCATGGTCAAGCAAATTCAAACACCACAGCTTCTGTGAGGGATTCTAAGCATGGCAACCTACAAACGCCTGCTTGCGTCTCTCTGGCAACTCTTGGGCCGGCTCCACAGTGTCACTGCTGGTTCTATGGCAGGATGTGCCTCTAAGGATCAACGTGAAAGACATCCTCCTCAGAGATGCTGCCTGCTCAGCCACTCTGTGGCTCCTGCTCTCCCTCTCTCAGGCTGGGCCTTGAGGACTTTGCTCCCACCCTGGGTCTCATCTTGTGTGGGCGCCAGAGTGATGTGTAAGCTGGTGAGAGCAGATCCCAGACTTGAGGCCACCGGACTCAGATCTGTCGGCTTTATTGATCTGTGGCTGTGCAGTGCTGGGGAGGAACGGCAGGCCACGGCACTGACCCAGCTCCTGAGCTAACGAGTGAGCTTCTGCAAGCTCCACAGCCAGCTTCGGACAGTCAGCTCTGCCAGAGAAAAGGACACCCCCCACCCCCGTGCACAAGACCTTCCAGAGCAGAATGAGGGGTTCCATATGTTCCCCAAGAAGCCCAGGCTTGCCCTCCTCATCCCCAAGGCTCCAGCTCCTAAACACATCCCAGACTCTAACCCTCCTCAACCCCTGCCTAAGCCAGAGGTGAGCTATGTCATTCTGGGCTGGGTCCCTGCAGCAGCCCCTCCCCCTTTCCTCAGCTGCCAATCACGCGGACAGTGCTTCCCTTCTGTGCTGGGTCCTTTTATGTCAACTGCACTCAAGCCAGAGACATCTGAGAGGATGAAAAATGACAAAATGTCTCCAGAAGATCCAACTGTAGGACATTTTCTTAATTAGAGACTGATGTGGGCGGGATCAGCCCCTGGTGGGTGGGCCCATCCCTGGGCTGGTGGTCCTGGGTTCTATAAGAAAGCAGGCTGAGCAAGCCATGGGGAGCAAGCCAGTAAGCAGCATCCCTCCACGGCCTCTACGTCAACTCCTGCCTCCAGGTTCCTGGCCCCTAACCCCGACTATGCGGACTAGATGATCACTCAGGTGATCTCACTGAACCTGGTCTCTTGTCTGCCCTGACTCCTTACAGGCTGTCATGGGGGTGCAGCCAGGTGACACTCATGAATGACTGAGCCATTGTATCTCCTACGGCTCCCGGGTTAGACACAGAGTGGACTGCCCGTCAGTGTGAGCTGCTCTCGGCAGACTAGACGGTGAGTGGTGTGCAAGCCAAGAGCAGAGGCTCTGCCTGCTGAAGATCAAGAGAACAACACAGACACTCCCCCTTCCCTCCTCCCCTCCTCCCCTCCTCCCTGAGGCAGCACCACTGCTGTGCGCTGACCATTTGGGAAACAGTCCCAAGGGTGACTTGGCTTAAGTCGTCCCTGACAGAAGGGTGGGACTGTCCTTGGAGCCAGTGTCTCTCGGCTGAGACACAAGGAAGACAGCGGAGCCAGAGCAGTAGCTGAGGGTCATGTCCAACGGAGACAGAAACATATGCTCGCTCCCAAGTGCAGCCAGCGAGATAAACCTTCACAGAGACACTCGTCACACACATCGTGTTGGAAACACACCACAGGGCTTCAGATCAGCAAGAACAAGGAGCAGGAATCCCTCCTGCTCCAGCCCCAGTGTGGAGTCTCGGAAGGGCTGCCTCCCTGCCCCCGTTCAGTGCTTGGATGCTGACAGCATGCACAGGAGGTGCATCTGGGGAAGATGTGTGTGGGGAGCTGGAGCATCTCTCCCCAGGCCCCAGGTCTGCCAGCCTGGACCGGGATGGCTCAGGTAACAGTGGTCAGGAGAGTGGCACACCAAACTCCAAAGACCACGGTGAAGTTGCAAAAGGGAGGGTGGAGGGTCTTGGATGAAGCCTGTGGCTGTGAGGGACACCTGCTGGAAGTCTGGGGACAGTTTAAGCCCCCTCTGAAGATGAAGGGTGAGGGCTGAAAGACCATCTCACACAAACCTGGCTCTCTCACGACCTGAGTGCAGCTGGTGGAAAGTCAGAAGCTTTTCCCTTTTGCCCACCGTTTAATCCCCCAGTGCCAGCGCCTACCCACTGTGCAGCATGGGTGTTGTGTCCTCTCTAATCAGGACAGCAGTGAGACACTGGCCCTCTGCTCTCACCATCTAACAAGGAGAAGACTTGCCTAGCACGTCCAAGGCCCTGGACTCGATCCCCGAGGCATGTGCACACAGCCCTGCACGCATGTGCTCGCACCCCTCGTCCCTAGTTAAAGGCGTCTCCCGGCTCAGCCTGTTGTCGCAGTGCTCACCTGCTCCTCAAAGGACGAGATCTGCCATCGGTACATTCTCAAGACGTCCAGCAGGCAGCTGGCATCCAAGACCTCGTCCTCAGTGACTTCTTGGCAGGACAGAGCTGGGTATAAGAGAGGAAGACAACTGAGTCAGAGCGTAAGAAAGTGCCGCACATGCGGAGGTGACAGCGCACGGAGGTGACAGCATCCCAGTGACACTGCAGCTCCCTCACGATCTTTGGAGCCTTACACATTGCAGAGTCAGCATGTCATGTTTGTTGAATGAATCTAAGATTTCAGAAAGCTACAAATTACCATCTGATAAAGAGGGGTGTTGTAAGTCAGTTGAGTGTGGTCTGAACTCATAATTCTCAAGGTTGGAAGGCACTCACGCCAAGGCGACCCATACGCAGCATGCGACACCTCTCCCCGGGGCTCATGGCTTCCTACCTGAGGGCTTCTGACCGCCAGGTACTGAGGGGGCAGCTGAATGCTTTACTTTATAATCAAAAGTACAATAAAGCCCAACTAACAAAAAAGTTTGTCTGACACAGTGCATACATCAGAGTCCCAGCTGCTGAGGATGCTGAGGTAAGAAGCTTTCTTGCTTTCTTGACCCCAGGAGTGTGGGACCAGTCCTGGGACACACAATCCTGGCAACAGCACAAGATTTGGTGACCCTTTAGTGGACCTGCCTTTATCTTTTTATAATTTATGTTATTCACTGCTGTTGTTATTTGGGAAGCCACCAGCACCAGGCAGCTCGTCACCTCTAACTCCAGCTAAGGGTCTGGTGTCCTCACGTGACCCCCAAGGATACCCACAGAGATGCATAACACATAAACAATAAAACTACATCTATGCTGGGTGTGGTGGTGCAGGGCTTTAATCCCAGCACTTAGGAGGCAGAAGCAGGAGGATCCCTTTGAGTTTGAGGCCAGCCAAGTCTACAGAGTGAACTCCAGGACAGCCAGGGCTACATAGTGAGACTTGTCTCAAAACAAAACAAAAACCAACAGCAGGGAAGCCCATTGGCCACAGACTGCGTCATTCTGACCACAGTGCACTGCTGCTCACAGGGAGACAAAGGAAGAGTCAGCGCTCTCAGGGTCTGCTCCAGTGATCCACACAGAACACAGGCCAGACCCTCTCTGCCCCTTGGTGTGCAGTCAAGCACGTGAGAGTCCTCACATTTAAGGCTCTGACCCAGGGGATGGGAACACTGCCCACCTCCTGCACCCCCTCCCTCCACTGCAGCTCCACCTGAGCAATCTGACTTGGCTGGAACCGGCCAGAACCTGAGGGGCAGGACATGGGGGTTGGTGTGGGAGGGCAGCTACCTAGGCAGCCTGTGGTGAGCATGTTGGCCCAGCCCTTCCCCCTTCAGGACAAAGGCTGCAGAGTGGAGAAAGGAACCACACTCCTGGGAAAATGTCATTGTCTCCACCTGCCACCAACAGGAGGGCTCCACCATTCTTCCCAAAGAGCTGTATTTCTGCGCACAGATGGCCCCGTGCTGTGACGCTTGCCACAGCCTGGATTACAGGCGCCACTGAGCTACAAAGCAAATGAGGTCCCTGGCTATGTAGAAGCATAGGAATTAAGACGGGCTGCACAGACGCCGGGCCGCACAGACGCTGGGCCCCACAGACGCGGGGCTGCAGAGGGTTAAGATGGGGGGCACAGACGCGGGGCTGCAG